ACTGTCCTGTCTTCATCCTCATGGCAACCTGCGGAGATGAAGTTTTCGCCCATCTTACAGATAAGGAAACTGAGGCTCAGAGCAATTCAGAAGCTAACCCACAGGTCATGTGGCAAGTGTTGGGTAGCAAGCCCAAGCCCCTACCTGCCCCAGGGGAAGGGAGGCCACATCCAAGGCCCTGCCTTTGCCTCCCAGTCACAGCGGGGAGGAAGTGCAGGAGTGTCATCTGACTCCCCACCCCGACCCTATCTGTCAGGAGCGGGCCACAGGAGTGCACGCAGAAAACCGGACGCTATCAGTGTGGTCCATGATTCTGAACACCATTCCGACCAACAAGCACCTAAGGGCCCACTGTGGAACCAGCCCAAGATCCAAGATCTTCCTGGCTATTGTCCTGAGGGTGCCTGAGGGACGGACAAATTGTCTCCTGGGGCAAAGTCAGCAGCTCCCAGGGTGGGGCTGCAATAAGGGGACCTCATAGAAGGATAATTCCAATTTCCATTATCCTGGGATTATTTTATTCCCTGTTTTCTAGAAAATTATAATGGGGATGGATCCCCTTACAAATATTAGAAGGCATGTAGATCCATAAAATAGTCTGGCCACAAGAGAGAAAGTAGAGGAATCGGATGCCCCAGCAAGCAGACTGCATATGAGGAGTTAAGGCAGGCAATGTGCTGCACAAATTCTAACTCCTGAAACCATCAGCCATGGTGGGATCTTTGCCAAGTCACTTAGCCTGTCCAAGAAGCTGTCAGTCTCCTTATCTGTAAAATGGGGCTAAGGATACACCTACCTCATGGGGGTGAGGAGGGGGTTGCAATAGAGAATGAGTCCTTCATAATTGCCAGTTGCTGGTACCACTTAGGAGAGGAGCCAGTGCTTCTCAGGGCGTCTGGGCCATAGCCTTACCGTGGTTGAGGGAGTTAGAAGGCATGTCTGGCTGCCCAGCTCCAGGTTTTGTCCAGTGTATGAGGAAGGGGAGAATTTGGTGGAGCCAGGGGATAGGGATGGGAGGTATCTGTGACCAGGAACATAGGGAGGTCAGCATAGGACCCTGACGGTCAGTGGCTATGCCTGGTACACGGGGATCAGGCTTTGCGGGTTGGTCACAAATGAGTGTAGAGCCTGAGGTCCCAGCCCCATCCCACCCAAGGGCCTTGAGACTGGGGGAAGGCTGGCATTGGGTGGTGGGAGAGAAGGAATGGTGAGAGCCCCTTGAGGGCTAGACCCCCCTTGATCCTCATGTCACCCATTTCCCTTCTTGTCAGGGGAGTGAAGAAAGAAGACAAGACTCTGGCTGTGGGAATCCAGTTCATGCTCCTGAGAGTTTTAGGTAAAGAACCTCTGGTCCAGACACTCACTGTGTACGGGGGCTGGGGGCACAGGGATGAGTGAGACCCAGTTCCTGGCCTTGGGGTTCACGGGCCCATGGGGAAGCAGATCCAACCCAGGGACCTGCAGGTGGGTGTATCATCAGCTAGACAGCCCAGGAGGGAGGTAGCATCTGATATCAGGGTGAGGGGTGGGCTTGAGGGCCAAGGACAGATGGGCCCAGAGGCCTCCAGTGGCTCAGAGCCCCTGAGGGG